AGCTGGAATCCTGGAATCACACACTCAGTGAGGTTGGAGAAGCCTTCCAAGATTAAGTCCAACAATTGACCCAGCACTGCCAAAGCCACCACTAAACCATGTCCCCAAGTGCCACATACCACGTTTTTGGAACACTTCTAGGGATGGTGACTCCACTCCTGCCCTGGGCAGCCTGTTCTGATGCTCGACAACACTTTTGGAGAAGAAATTTCCCCTAATATCCAATTTAACCTTCCCTGGCACAGGATGAGGATGTTTCCCCTCGTCCTATTGCTTGTTACTTGGGAGAAGCCACTTGTATTGCTATTAAGAGCAGCTACAAATCTGCATTACAGTTTTAACTGGGGACACAACATTCCAAGAAGCCTTTTAGGAGAAGGGCACAAATCCTAAAGACACTACTCATCCAAACCTTGGAGTATTCAAGGTGCAACATGTTAAAGACATCACCTTAAACAGCTCAGAAAGGGAAGCCCCTTGTAGGAAACTGCTTCTTCAGCACCTTCTGCCCAGGAAAAGAGTAAATTCTTGAGTTCTTCCTTTAATTACCAGAGTTCCTTATTTAGGTGACACTTGAAACAGTTGCCAACTCGACGGCTGGAACAGAGAGGTTTTCAAAGGATTCTCCAACCCACACAGGCAGTCCCAGGAGGAGGAGGAGGAGAGGGAAGGGCTCCAGAGGGGAGGGGGCAGAATACATAAACATTTTGTGTCTTTTATGCTAAGCCTGAAAGACTCCAAAAGCCCAGGAGAGCCCACTGCAGCAGCACTTTAAAAGGATCAAAAAGAGACAAGTGCTGTTTTATATCTGGTTGTCAGCATGAAATGCCAAATAAAAATAATCAGCCAATCCTGCCTGAAAAGAATGGAAGACAAAGAACTGGAAATAGGTAATTTTGAAACACGTGTCTCAAGTCATCCCTGTCCCCTGCACACATGTGGGTTTACACACAGGAAAACTACTCAGGTACCTTCAGCTGCCTCAAAGTGCTGCAGGAGCTCGTGAAACACTGAAAGGATCTGTAAACAAAAAGCTTGTAAACACTGAAATCAAAGTGGAAAATTTCAGCTTCCCCGCATTTTGTAGCTCAAGAACTTCAAAATGTGACTTTAAGGTTAATGTGGTTTTTTTGAACTCCTGTGCACTTGGCATTCTTGCAAAATCTCCCTGTACAAGCACATAAACAGGTACGATGTCAGTATATGACCATCTATGATGGTCATTTTCTGGAATTCCAAAAAATCATGAATGAATAAGCAAGAGTTTCCAAGAAAAGCACCTAAATACACCCTCAGGGGACACATTTCCCTGCTCTTCATTTGCATTTCAGCCAGCTGCTTGCTGACAACAGAGAGCACAGATTAGTCTGGGGCACATCCTCTCTTTATTCAGGAGAGATCAAATTGGGGTGTTTACTAAATACGGCCTTCCTACTTATTTGAAAAAATATTAACTGGATAAAAATAGCCATGGCTTCTGTAAAGAGACTGGCAACCTTAGGAACCTAATTGTTCCCAGCAGGAAGGATTACATGAATCACAGGGAGAAGGGAACAAGAGTCAGAGCTACAGAAGGGAAAACTGTCCAATTCTGCTGCAGCTCCCATGTTCTCTTCATCCCAAAACACCAAACTGTGAGCCCCAAGGGATCCCAGAATCCCAAAGGGTTTGGCTTGGAAGGAACCTTCCACTATCCCAGGTTGCTCCAAGCCCTGTCCAGCCTGGCCTGGTCCTTTTTTTAACATTTCTTTTTTCCCAGAAGCAGCTCCATTCTTGGATTCATCCCAGCAAGGGAAGCATCAGACCTGACTGAAGCCACCTGGAAGGTCATCCCAGTTAATAGATTGTGCTTGAACTTTCTGCACAGATATTGTGTAAGAGTCTGTAACCAGACAAAATCTCTTAAGAGGATGGGAAGGAAAGCAGCTGAAATTTTAAAGCAGTCTGCCTCAATCCTCCTTGTATAATTACCCTTTGCTGGGGAAGAATGGGACAGAAATAGTTACTAGAGACAATAAATTGAAAAACATGGACATCCATCCCCCAAGATGTAATTTCTACGTAGAATCAGAATCCTTTAGGTTGGAAAAGACCTTTAAGATCGTTGATACATGTTTTTGTTACAGGCTGGGAACTTATTTTCGTGATGCTTCCATTACATTCTTCAAAGGGAAGGCTGAAGGTGACTTGGTTTAGCATTTTAATAATAACCACGACCATTCCTGCTATTTTATGACCATTTCATGACCATTCCTGCTATTCAAGTGATACACTGTTCACTGTGCTACTGAAAAAAGTTATTTGGTGAAAGCTGCAATAGTATAAAATTATTTTTAGGTCAAATTTGGAGAGAAAGTAAATGCTCACAGCTTTCTGGAGAACACCATTAAAGGCTTTATTCCGTACCTCTTACTGGGGGAAAATGTAATTTTTATTACAAGTTCCTCCACACACAGGAGATGAAACCTCACTGACTGCAACAGCTACTTGCTGCCTCGAGTCAGGGTTTTATGCCTTTGGAAACACAGAACCTATTTACTCCACATGAAAAAAAAAAAATAAATCTTAAATATATCCCGAAGTACATGGAGGAAAAAACCCTCCTTTTTCCTCATCCCAGCTGAGACATCTTGGACAATTCATCTGCCTTTTTTTTTTATTACACTCACTGGAAAAAAAGTAGTGAGATAATAATGATATGACTTAAGATATTCACAGACACAGCAGAGGTGTGGAAAAGCCTTTAAGTCATGTTTCACACCTCGGTGGCTTTTTGGGAACAAAGCCCAAACAGCAACAGAATCTCCTGACACTCCCCATTCCTGTCAACTTCAGCTCACCTTGGTCTGCAAAGAACTCAGCCTCAAATTCCACACCCGGCCCTGGGTTCACTCTGTTCCTACAGGCACAATTCCAGTTTAGTTGGGGGAAAAGAAAGACCCCAGGCTTCACACACCTCATCTCTTGTTTCAGCATGTCACACACCCAGAAGCAGGAGTGTTTCTTCCAATCACTTGGAAGGTACTTAGAAGATAAAAAGTCACTAGGATTCCCTATTTCCCATCATTTCCTTGTTGTACCATCACAGAAAAAAAACTGGAAGTCCCAGACTCCTGAGATTCCCACTCACTGCAGGGTAACACATCACTTCTTTCCTTACATCCAAATCCACCTGATTTTAAATGTGTCACACAGGAGCACAGCTATTTGCATCCTAAATATGCAAAGCAAGAGTCTAAAAGCAAACTTATTTCCTAACAAACCCTTATACTTCAAGAAAACAAAGGTTTTCATGCTACGAACACACCAGGGACTAAAACGAGTTCTGAACAGAAATCAAAGTTAGGCCAGACAGTGAGAGAAAACTTTACCCCTTAACTGAGTCCTCCTCTTGGAGGGGACATGGTGTTGGGCAGCAAGAGAAATATCTCACCTTAAAGGGCTGAAGGAAACTTGAAACCACCTTCACATAAAATTCATTTACTGGAACACTGCAGCTGCCTCCAAGGGCTCCAGGAGACCCGGGACCTGGCTGGTTGAGGGATGGTTTCATGGTAACTGGAGCCAAGGAGAGCACAAAGAGCAGTCCCTGACCCTAATCACCACCTCCACGTGGAGCAGGAGCCATGACTTTACCCACTGGGTACTCACTGCATGATGCCTGACAAACTGAGCTGTCAGGAAGCCATTCACAGTCAGGGAACTTGGGGTTTTCTTCCCTAATCAAGCAGCTGACACCTCAGTGTCCCATATCCATCCCTTCTTCAGCAGTTGAACAACCCAGAACATTTACCACCCCTCAGCAGAGGAAAAGAGTGGTCTGCAAGGTAAAGGATGACACTTTGCCTGCTGTGTGGGACTGTGCCTGGATGACCTGGAAGTGTCCAAGGCCAGGCTGGACAGGGCTTGGAGCAACCTGATCTAGGGAGGGTGTCCCTGCTTAGGGCAGGGGGTGGGACTGGGGGGGCTTTAAGGTCCTTCCAAACCCACACCATCCTGAGATTCTAGGACAAAGAATGAAAACACTCACAAACCACCACTACAGGTATTACTAAGGATGGTTTATATGGGTTGTATCTCCTTCAGTATTAACTTGATTAGAAATCTGCCCTTATCCCTCACACAAGGCAAATTAAAGCTCTTAATTATTCCAGTTTTCCTTCTGCTAATGAAATGCAGCAGTGTCATTAGTGAGGCTTGTCAGCTACACTTACGTGCAAAGAAATGATTTGACACTGCTTTTGTCATCTAATTCTTCCAGGAAAAACAGTCAGAACGTCACCGTAAATAAAAATCCTTCAAGACAAAGAGGACAGATGGCAACACTCCCAAGGAATACCACCCAAAATATTCATCCTACAGGAGGAGGAGAGGACTGCCAGCCCTGGGAACAGCCAATAGATCGGAGTCTTGCAAGGAGAAAACAGCCCAAAATATTTTCTGTTTGTGCAGAGATGCTGAGATACTGATTTTTGCTGAAGGGTTGCTGTAAATTGGTGGATCTGCCCCTCACATCACCATTTCTCACTCTCAGCATCCAGAACCAGGATCTACACATAGCTTTGGGGAGAGGCTCCATTATTATTATCAATTATCAGTTCTAGCTACAAAGCAGCAAAAGCATTTCAGGCAAACTTAGAAACTGGAAGCCTTCACTGTTGCTGCAATACCACACAGAAAAGCCTTGTCCATCCCTCCCTTTCCCTCTCCTCCCACTTTAACTACAATTCCAGGCTGTTAAAAAGTCAACTGTTGAGCTGAACAGTTTCCTTTGGTAAGAGTTAATTAGGAACAAATGTTATCAGAGATGCATGAAGCTACAAACTACTGCTGAGGAGACAACTACAGCAAGAGACAAAAACAGTGAGATGTACTAAAGACTTGAAATCAAAAGGAAACAACTCAAAATGATACACAAAACAAGGGGAAAATGCTCTAGTACAGAAACCACCGTCTGTCCCTTCCAAAGGAGAGCTGCCATGGAGACAATGTATAGTTACCTGCATCCATATCTGCAAAGAATGGAACAGCCAGTAAGGAAAAGAAGGAACCAGAAATTCAGTGTCTCAGAGTTGGATTTAAAAGTTCATAAGGAGAACAGATAAAGAAAAATAATCAAAAAAAAGTATTTATTCTAAGACACACCTTGATAAGGTGCTATGCTATGATATTTTTGGATTAATGTTAAACACTACAGCATACAAATTCATTTGCTATGCTATGAGAACATTAAAAAAAAGTCAAGACTAAATACTTAATACATTAAACAATGAACAAATTATATCTTTAGTTTAAGCTCATGAAGTTGTTTTATTCTCCCCAAATCCCAATTCTGCAGAAATCCTACTGTACTACAGACAGTGGCTCTCAACAGCCCAACTGAAAGCAGCAGCACCACTGAGAGCAGTCAGCTCCTCTCCACCAGGACTGAGTCTCCCATAAGGACACATCCTGGGGGCCAAAGTATTTAAGGATGCTCTGGAGCTATGGAACAGCTCCGACTATATCGTCGTGCATACTGAGCTCAGTCTGGAGAACTACAGGAGAAATCTCCATGAATTCTGAAACAGCAGATCAGATCCTTTGCTAATTCATTTCTGTGTGATTCAAATGGACAGAGATGCAGCCTGTGGGGGCAGAGCAGCGGTGAGGGCAGAGCACGTACCTTCGGGGGACTCCTCCTGGACGTAGGTGCCCGTCAGGTACCGGTGCACGAGCGCGGACTTGCCACTGGCCAGGTTACCCACGATCCCCTGGACACACAGAGGGAACAGAAACCCAGTGCATTAATCCCTGGGAAAAGCAGAACGTTCCATGAGAACCCTGAAATAACATCTCAGTGCTCGAGGAGAAAGCCCATGCCACTGGAACAGTCCCAAAGACGCCCAGACAAAGTTTAGAGCAGAGCTGACACGGGAACTCGGGCTCTGCCCGCAGCACTCCTGTGCTCAGCTGCCCATGGGACACCAGGGAACACAGAGACTGCAGGGAGGAGCCTGGCACCTCTTCACTGGGTGAAGCTTTCATACTGGGAACAGCTCTGGAGGCTGCACTCTGTGATTCCCACTGACTCACACTGAAGCACACGTGATATCTGTGGCTGTGGGCAGACTCATCTTGCCACATCCACCAGCACAGGATGGTTTGGGCTGGAAGAGACCTTAAATATCATCAATCCCACCCCCTGCCATGGGCAGGGACACCTCCCACTAGCCCAGGTTGCTCCAACCCAGCCTTGGACACTCCCAGGGATCCAGGGGCAGCCACAGCTTCTCTGGGAATTCCAGCCCAGGCCCTCCCCACCCTCACAGGGAGGAATTCCTTCCCACTATCCCATCTATCCATGCCATTTGGCACTGGGAAGCCATTCCCCCTCGTCCTATCACTCCATCCCTTGTCCCCAGTCCCTCTCCAGCTCTCCTGGAGCCCCTTTAGGCACTGGAAGGGGCACTCAGGTCTCCACCAGGATGTGTTGAAGTCCCTGACTTTACCAAGAAGTTCCCAACTCAAACCATCCATGCCCAACACCTGCCTGGGAACATCTGACAACCACCAGCAGCACTTGACCCTAAAGCTCACAGGAGTTTTCTGCTGAGCTGGTTCACTGGCATCTGTTTTTCAAACCCAGGCAGAACTAACAGAAAGCAGCCCAAAACCACAGGAGTTTTCCTCCTGGAGGTGCTCACATTCCAAAAGACATGGAGATTTGCATTTTCTGTTGCTATAAAAGGGCACACAGTGCTGAGGACACTCGGTTTCTGGGGGAGGAGATGGGAACTTACTTCACCCTGTAAAACAAACCAAGCCTACTCTGTTCTCACATGTTTACTTGACCCTCCCCAAAGGTTCAGAACATAAGATCCCTGGAGACAAGATGAACTCTGCTGATGGGCCCAAGATTTCCAAACTGACCAAGGCAGCAGGAACAAGTTGCACATTAGTGCACAGTCTCTACTCCATTTTCTTAATTCTAAACCCTAAGAAACCACCCTTTATATCAAAAATCGCTTACAAGTCCCGTGTGTATGGACATTAACATTATTTTATATTAGACTTGGGCCAAAATTTTAACTGCCAGGAAAAACAGAAAAGCATCAACTTGGGGTCCAGTGAGAGTGAACAACCTACATACTTTGGCCATGGATGGGGGTAATTTATTCTATTGAGAGACCCCAAATATTTGAAAGACATCAACTGATTTGAGAATACAACATTTTTTTTTTAAGTATCCCAAAGGTCCCATCAAAATACATAATTTTACAGCACTTCGGGTTCTCTGATACATTCCTCCTTATAGGGATCCACAATGCCTGGCTACAAGAGCATTTGGATATTATAATGCTGCAAACTGATACCAAAAGCACTGTGATCAGGAGGAGGAACATGTATTTCAGTGAAAAAAACCACTATATCATACAGAATCCCAGACTGGTTTGGGTTGGAACTCATCCCATTCCACTCCCCTGCCATGGGCAGTGACACCTTCCACTAGACCAGGTTGCAAACACAGCTATAAAATCTACATTTGCATGACAGTTTTATTTTCTCCCTAGACAGCTCCTTCAGAAAGCACTCAGGAGAGAGATCTGCCTTCTCCTCACCTGGCAAAACAGGATTCCTTCAGATCCCACCTCAGAACCTACAAGGCACCACCTCTTTCCTACCAGGGATCAAACATGACATGAAAATCTAAGAGAACTGTCCTCTTGTTCAGTGCAGGGCTTGGCATCACAGCTCCAGGTCTCCCAATCAATTGCTCCTAAAACCCAGGAGCAATAAGTTTTACACTAGAAAAAAGATCCGACTTCAAATCCAGTTTCTCTCTTTATCGGTATTAATACTTAAGGCTGATCCCCCACAGTACGACAAACATGCCAGCATGTTTTCACAGCAGTCATATTCCCCTCTCCCATATTTTATACACACACCCCCCCTCAGTCATCTCTATTTATTTATGGATATGTCTGAAATGCACAAAGTTATGACAAGCATGTTAGGGCACAAAAATACCACCCTAACCCAGTTCAGAAAGGAGAAAATTCAGCTACAACTCAGTGCTCTTGTCACTTATGACTTGTGCAACACTGAATCATTTATCTACAAGTGCCAGACACGCTGTAAAACGCAGCCAAACCACTGTGCCCACATCCTACTAAACCCTGTTGGGAAAAAGGTTTAAATGTACTGATGGTACTTGGCATTTGAAAGCTGCCCTGACTGCACTTTGTGTATTTTTTAGCAAGACATTAAGTGATTTTATCCAGAAAGACCCCTCATATTTATTCTGCTTAAAATATCCTTATTTTACATTTGGATACATGGGATCCAGGAATACCAAAGGTATTGGGTCTCCCCACACTCTTGACCATCAAAGAAGCATCGAAATCCTGAGGTAGAACTCCGTAGAAGTATTTGATCAGCACAAACCAACCACAGGATCCCAGAATGGGTTGGGTTGGAAGGGACCTTAGAGCTCATCCAGTGCCACCCCCTGCCCGAGACAGGGACACCTTCCACTATCCCAGGTTGCTCCAAGCCCTGTCCAACCTGACCTTGAAAATCCTTCTGAACGCTGGAAAGAAACCAAGCCCTGAGTGTATTGCTAAAACAGGAGGCAGAGGCAAAGACTGGTGTTCTTTCCTCAAAGACATGTTGAAATGTAATCCTTCCTTTATTGCAGCCCTGGGTGCTTCCCCTGCTCTCCCAGAGCAGTTTCTATTCCCTTTAAAATTCTGCAGAGCCCAAAGTGTACAACAGCAGCCACTGTATAAATAAATCAAAAATAGAAATCAACCAACCCCTCAACTTCAGGACCTCCCAGCCTCTGCAGAGAAGACAACCTCTCCCAGTGAGCTATTCCCCACATCCTGCTCAAGAGGGTAAAGCTGGGGCTCCTTCCTAACCCTGCCACGCCAAGTCTGATCCCCACACCTGCACTGCTGCAGCAGCAGGTCTGGCTTTCACATGGTCCTTTCCTTCCTCAGCCATCAGTGAGCTCCGAGGATGAGGCTGGAAGGCAGGGAATGACCCAGAGACGGACTCACAGCCACGACTCCTCCCCAAGGGCAGACAGGCAGCAAAGGCAGAGCACATTTCAGCTGGAGTTCCCAATCTGCCCTCCCTGCTGGAGCACAGCTGGTGCTGCTGGAATGCACAGTTTGCAGTGCTCTAATCCAATTACGACTTTTGTAATGGTCAGAGTTCTGCTTTCACCCTGGCACAGCCATCCTGTGCATGCTGACCACTGCTAATCAATTCTCGGCAGCTGCAGTCTGTTTTCCTACCCCTGGTTCAGACACCACGGGGGCAAAATACCCAAGACAAGTACTCACATGATGCAGCCAGGCTGTCACAAGAGAAAAACATACCCTGAGACCATCATCTGTTTGTGTTGTGTGTTACAACAGGCAGTAACACAGCTTGGGTCCCACCTGCAAGCCCCAGGTGCTTTGGGGGGTGCTGTGAATTAGCAGGGCTCAGAGAAGGGAAAGGGATTTGCAAGGAAACCCTCTGTAGATCCTCCTCAGAATAAGCCACCACAGTGTTGGACTCCTACCCAACCAACACCTTCCAGTCCCAAATTCTTTAGAGTTTTACTTCTGTGAGGTATTTAGGGACGTGTTTGTCTTCAAAATTACACCCCAGTGATGGGGCCTCAGTTACTCCGAGCTGCTGGTTTAATTCCCACTACCAGGAGGTCTCATCTCAGCCTCCATGTTCACTTCTCTTAAAAGGGCAAATCTGAGAAACTCCCCCAATCTGCCTGTGTTATTTTTGCCTTTTCTTTCACCTACATGGAAAGCAGCTCAGCCAAGGGAAGTTATTGTAAGCAGCTATTAAATCACTGCTCACTGTTACAGTAAAATGTAGGTTTTGATTCACTAAATGAATATTCAAAATATTTTTTTTTTAATTCTGTATCAATTCAGGTAAAGTCTTTCAAGAGAGGGAGAGAAGACATTTGGCCCTTGAAAAAACGATGAAAAATTATTATGGTGAGACAAAAAGACCTTTATATATCAGCTGCAAACTTCCACCCCCCTCTTACAGATGTGTCAGCCCTCCCTTGGAAGCTGGTTCATGGAGCCAGACAAGTTGCAACAGCAATAAAATACAGAGAGATCTTTGAAGTATGATTATAAAAACTGAAGATATATAAAGACAGACCCCTCCCTGGAAGTGTCCAAGGCCAGGTTGGACAGGGCTTGGAGCAATCTGGGCTAGTGGAAGGTGTCCCTGCCGGTGGAACAAGATGATTTTTAAGGTCCCTTCCAACCCAAACCATCCCGGGATTCTATCATATTTGTGTAGAAGAAAAATGCTTTACTGATTAAAATTCTTTCCTATGTTTTTTCCCCCAACAGTAGATTTAATGAAGTGTGGAAGATTCACACTTGTGTGTGACATTTTCAGGATGTTTTCCAAGCCAGAAGTAAACACAAACTCACCACTTTCAGCTCCGGTACGGATCGGCTCAGTGTCCATTCCTGGCTATTTACAAAGGCATCTGTGAAAGAGGAGAACATTCCCAACGTCAGGATAATGACATTTAGTGGTCTGCTGCACACAATTTCATGCCAAGGCTCTGGCTGACCAAAATTCACCCTGATTTCAGGAGACTGACAGTCCAACTTGACAAACACCAGGGGTTTGGACAAATCATATAAAAAAATCCAGAATCTCAGAAGTGCCCATTCCACACAGACCTGCCCTCAGCAGCGAGTCCACCCATCTCTCATGCCCTGGCATTTGCAAGCCCAAACTACCTCCAGGCCTTCAGGGTTCTGCAAAGACTCTTCCGGTGTATCCAGGGTTAAACCATTTCCCATCCACCTTGACACATTCCTTCCCTACAGGAAAAGCCTTGGGCTGTTTGTCACAATAAACATCAGCAACTGCAGCTGCCACCATCCTCCCCACAGGTAAATGAGAAAATTTGATGGTTCTAAAACATGTTATTTTCTACTGCACATCACACTCAGTGTCAACAACTGCAGCCAGTAGAGTCGCTGGGAACATCCCTGCCCAGGGAGGGGAAAACATCTCTTTATTCATAAAACAGGCTATTTTTCTGTAGTACAACCCAGACAGAAAGAAACCACAGAGCCATTTACTTTAGAATTCAATCAGAAGTACTGGGGGCAGGGGTTGATTTCCTGAAGAATGAATTAAGTTCATCACTGCTCCCAACAGAAACAAATTCCTTAGGGCTGCACCCAGGTCCAGCCTCACTGGCAATCCCACAGGGAGGACAGAAATAAGGCTCTCTTTTTCTAGCTCCAAGTATCATTTTGCTCCTTCCATAAAGGTCTGGCCAACTGTAAGCAAACAGAGTGTGGTCTTTCTGATACAAATCCAATCTGAATATTGATCAAAGCCTCCCAAAAGCCAGGCAAACCAGATGAGTGTCTGTGCCACACACACAGGATGCTCCTCCCGAGCAGAACAGCTCCCACTGTACAGGAATTAAACAGCAGAACAGCTCCAACTGCACAGGAATTAAACAGCAGAACAGCTCCCACTGTACAGGAATTGAACAGCAGAACAGCTCCCACTGTACAGGAATTGAACAGCACAGAGAGTCCTGGCATTCCAAACAATTCCTAATGCCACAGGAAGTAACAGGCAGAAAGCTACACCTGGTCACGTTGTCCACAGGGGAGCAAAGGTTCTGCAAGCCACTGCTCCCCCTCCAACACACGCATCAGCTGAGGGAAAAGGCTCTTTCATTTGATCTTTTCATCTGGAGAATAAAGAACCTGGAGGTAATTCCCTATCCTCACTAACTTAAAAGACCATCCAAGCTTTCCCAGTGACCAACCGAAAACAATCTCAAAGCAAACCTGTATTTGCCAGTGTATCTCTATTAATAAATAAATTACTTTTGCTTCAATATTACAAAAAGAACCATCAGCCAGGAATTTGGAAGCCTTCACTGGGATGGACACTGAACTACCCACTGACCAAGTTGGTTCTCAGAGGAATTCCTCAGGAAGGAATGATTTATTCCAAATTAATCCCAAGACCCATGGAAGTTCAGGTGAAAAGGTCAAATACTTAGAACATCACAGACAATCCCAGGGATTTGCCTTTTCTTCCTAAATAAAGGAAATTAACTTACAGCTACAGCACGACCCAAACACTGGATCCCTCACACCAGAGCCGGCAAAGCCCAAATTGTGAAGTCCACAAAAATCCTCTGCTGAAGCACCAAACCCCCCAACTACCACATGTGGATTTAAACATATTGGAAGAGATTTGCATAATAAACAGAACCACATGTATGAAGTTGACTGTTTGCATTATTGCCCGACTCTGGAATTCAAGTGAACTCAACCTTCATGTCTCACTACAGACTGTACATATGAAAGGAATGACTTTTGTCAATAATTAATCACAGTTGCATGTGCTGCTCATTTAACTTCTGCATCAGTGATCAAAAGCACCACACACTCACAGTGTCACTTGTGTCTTTTTAAAGCAGGCACCAAGATCATTTAAATTGCATTCTCCTTGCCTAGTTTACTTTTCCCCAACATGGTCTTCGGTTTTTTTTCATGTCCACCACCACATTCAGAGTTTCTCAGTTCCACTTCCACATCACTACATTAAAGCACAAACTCCAACAAGATCCTTGGCTATTTTTAAAACCTCAGTTTAGTAACTCAGCTCCACCCAGAGGAACCTTCTATCTCAGTTCCAGCACTAAGAATGAGATGTATGCTCTATTTTGGTTCCCCATGAATCCCAGAAGGTTGGAAGGGACCTGAAAGTTCATCTCATTCCACCTCTGCCATGGGCAGGGACACCTTCCACTATTCCAGGCTGCTCCAAGCCCCATCCAACCTGGCCTTCGGCACTTCCAGGGATGGGGCAACACGTGTTGGGGTGAAATCTCAGGGGTTGGTGGCCATTCTTGGCCAGGTCTGTGCACTCCAAGGCACAGAACAGCAGACAGCTCCCAGAAAAGCCCCACTCAAAATTTTCAAACAGAAAAATTTACTTCTTCAAAGCCAGGAATTATCACTAAAAACTAAATATTCGCAGCACAAAGTAAAGAGAGACAACATCCATCATTTGGAAGAGGGGAGCAAAGTCACACATGAAAACTGGAGGGGTTTCACAGCCTTTCTGGAAACAACCACAGCCCCAGCCTGCCCCAGTGTCCAGCAGTCTGTTTCATCCCAGCCTTGAATTTGAATGCTGGAAGCCCTCTCCTAAATCCACTCACTTTCCTGCCATGGGCAGTTGCAGCAAGGTAGCTCATCAGACCTCAGAGTCAACAGTTTTAACTGGGGCCAATTAGATTTACATCACCCTCTCCATCCTTTGGGCCCCTCTGCTCAAAGAACCCCCCCAAGCCAGTAAAGTCTGTCTGTTGATTAATATTTTAGGAGAGCCTAAGCTGCCTCAAAACCATCCCAGCAGCCCCCCATGGGCAGTGCCAGCACAGCAGCCTCTCCCCCACCGGCCCTTGTGCCACTAACCTTGTTTTGCCCTTTTTTCCCCCCAAATCTCTCACAGCTTTCTCTGCCTCTGATCCAGATGAAAACCCAGTGGCAAACCTGACCAAAAGGAGGGATGAGGGAAGGGCGGGTAGATGTCTCTGCAGGACAACATGAAAAGATTGAAATCTTCCACAATTCTTGGAAAGCTTCTTAGCAAGAGCTTCCCTCAGGCAATCCCAACATTCCTTTGCTGTCCTTTTAAATGAGGAAAAGCTATAAATAAATAAAAAATAGAAAAGTCATGGGATTTCTCTGGAAACACTCAGCAAAAGATCCTTTTTGCTAAGAACGGGAGCCCTCAAAAACACATGAATGAAGTTAAAAGTACCAACAGCCACATCGCACCCTGCTCCCTCTTCAATAATTTCTGCATTACAAGCAATATTTAGAGTTACTTCTGACTTTGAAATAAAAACCTGAGAGTGAAAAGGTACAGAAAATATTCCTACAAGCTCCCACTTGCCCACGAGGATGCACACGAGGCCACACGTGTCTTTCTTGGAGCCGTATCAAAGCAGCACTTTCAGGACGTGCTTCCCAAAGCTCCTGTGCTAATTTTCTTAGTAAAGAGGGAAATGTGCAGCTTTTGGGTTGAGACTTGTGATACTCCTCAAAGATGCATTTTTCAGGAGGGGTAATCTCACAGCACATCCTCCCAACCCAGCCCCCTTCACTTCAAGTCAAAGCACCGATTCAGTTCCAACAGAAAACAGCAGGAAAACATCCTGACATGTTTATTTTTAAGCTTTGCATAAAATATTATTTGGAAGAGTGTGTCACGTTCCAAAAGGCCCTTTTTTCATCTTATATGGGGCTCTGAGCAACCTGCTCCAGTGGAAGGCATCCCTGCCCATGGCAGGGGGTGGAATGGGATGAGCTTTAAGGTTCCTTCCAAACCAAACCATTCTGTGATTCTGTGAATTTTCTCATTTATCTCAGACCTGTTTAAAAAAAAAAACAAAACAAAAAAACACCCCAAAAACCAGTTTTTCATATAGATTCTATCTGTTTATATGTTTATATGGTGTAATATATATTACACCAAACAATAGCTACAAAGCAATAACAAACAAAACACTTAGAAAAGCAATTCAGCAGTATCAGGATAATTTAAGGTTTTTTCCTTCCTCACTCAGTTTGATTAGAATTATGGATTATCTGGCTTCACACTGTATGCCAGTAAGGAGATGGGTAGTTGCAGCAGTAATTCCTAACAGTCCCCTTTTTTCTTTCTTGAATTGCAGCTGTCATTTATAATTCTAGGGCAGTTTAAGCAAAAAGCAGCATTGCAGGGTGGCCCTGTCCCCTCCAAGCCCTCCTCCCTCCAGCTCCAGGTGGGAACCCCAGCCAGGCTCTGGGAATCACATCCCAGCACTGCCCAGCACTGTGTTTACACCTGGTTAACAGCATTAATGCACACACTGCAGAGGAGTCACAAAAACTGCCACAGAGCAACTCAGCTACAGCCCTAAAGGCAGAGGGACTGGGGCAGCTGTCAGTTTAAGGCTCCTCCCCTCCCTCCCAACGTTGTCAGGATGGATAAAATCCCACAGTTCCAACATAAATGTTTGATATTGGACAGATTTATTGCTGGCCATCCCCACTTGCTAATTGTAAATGGGAGAACAGCTCTAAGCTCAGCACCTTTAAGGCATCAGGCACCTCAGCCCAACCTCGTCAGAGCCCTGCAGATGTCTGACATCTGAAAAACCTTCCCCTGTAACTGAGACCTGTATTAAACAGATATTTAGGTCAAACCCCTAATCTCTCTTCCAACAGCAGCTGGCAGCTGCAGTAGTGTTATCCTTTGTGCTGCCATGGAAACAAAGGGAGGACCAGGATGCAAAGAGCTGCACACCCTCCACAGCCAGGAGCCAGCCTTTCCCAAAATTCACTGCTGGGCTCTCACATGGCTCTTGGGTTCTGTCTGGAACTTTTAAATTGCTGATATTAAGAGGGTTTTAGTTGCTGCCAGTATTGCCCCTCATCTCTCTCACAG